CCCCCCCCCCCCCAAAAAAAAAAAAGAAGTAAAAGACAAGAACAAAACAATAATAATCTTTAAAAAAAAAAGAATAAAGCTGAGGCAAGTGAAGTATCTTTGGCTGAAGCTGATGTTCCATTACTCTAAAAAGGAGACATAACTATAATGACTTAACCTCAATAGGACCTTACAACAAACTGTATATTATAATAAACCTCCTTGCCTAGCCTCTATTGCATGTCTGCTTGAGTTCGTCCGTTCACCCTCAGGCTCAGTGAACTAAATCCTGCAGCGGTGTAATTTGGCGAAATCTTTGGTTTGGCTAGGCGATAACAACCTATTTTTATTTAGATCTAGACTAGATCTAGATATCTAGATGTAGATCTACCTTCTATCGTATCGAGAGATACTCGGAACTTTCTCAGAACTCTTTACAGATGTGCGTTTACTTTTTTGGTAACCATTAGCAACACTGCCTTTCATTTGTTGAATTTTTGCATGTTCGATTCAGAATTTTCAACTTAATAATGAATAAGCTTAATTGTTTTGTTTTCATAATACTCTTGCAAAAATTTTATTTTTACAAATTTTACGGAAATTCACGGGAATTTCCGGAGGTCCCCGATTGCCACGTTACCACAAGGGCAGCAACTCCGTAGCCTCGGCAGGAAGGAAGACACATTCGTTGCTCTCGAAAACACGTATTCTTTTGCTGAATGGTGACGGACTCCTGACACCACGAAGGAGAACAGTTCATTTGTTAGGGGCTGTTACGAACTGCCGTGATGGATTTCATGCATTATGTGTTTGTGTTGTTTATGGCCACAGTATTGTGTGCAGATGCGATAAGGTTTCATCTTTCATCAAACCAAAGAAAGTGCCTGAAAGAAGAAATTCATAAAAATGTGCTCGTAACCGGCGAATACGATGTTCAAGAAAATGGACAGCGAGCAGATTTGAGCGTATGTTTTTTGTTTCGCAGTGACTATAATCAACGCCTTGAACGTAGTTTTGCAGGCCATGTGTCACGGCGCCCTGAATGTAGTCTGCATATTTTAAAAACTTTTCTCTGCAGACAATTAGGCCTAGATTCTATTTACTTTACTTTAGTTTAGTATTTACTGTGAATTGTTGTTTATAGTTTTACACCTTTCAGCGCTAGATCTACCGCTAGACTAACACCATCAAAATCAAGTGCTGTCATCCGTTTCTTTTATATAATTTTGGTAAATTACCCCATTTTGCCACTTATCCGATGGCGAGACGAAGATCTAGATTAGATCTAGATCTGTACCGAGGACTCGTAGACTGACTCGGCGATGGGGTCACGAAGTGCGAAGTTGGGAATCTCACAACAACTGACTGATTGAGAATTCAATACAAGCCGAGCGAGTTGTTCTCCGTCAGTATCAGTTTTGTTAGAATCGATCATCAGCTTTCGCGTCAGGTTTTATTTCTTTCGCTCGACAACAGTTTCCGGGACTAGTCGAGTTGTGATGTCCCGGCCCCGAGGGCGGAAATTTTGGCAAAATCAGTCCGGGAATCTCCAGATTGGGCGCTTTGTTGCCGGTTTTGGCCCCAAGAGTAGGCTAGGGGGGTTTCAGGGGGGCATAAAAATATAGAATGAGAAGGGGGAGTGGGGGGGGGGGGGGGGGGGGCCCTGAATTTTATCATAATTTGATGTTTTGCAGTCTTGTTGGAAAGTTGGTCACTTTTGCACCTTCAGGTTAGCGGTTTCGCTATTTAATGTTTTCTCTGCTTGGAAACCATAGATTTCAAGTATTTTTCACCACACATGTGGTACAGTACAATCTATTTTTGCATAACTCATGATATGTTGATGTTCAACATATGAAGATGTATGGTTAACACATTACACCCTAACTCGCCCGGGAATTCCCTTACGCGCTCCACCCTGACTCGCCCGGAACCGCCCGCGCCGACCCAGCGTCTTTAGAAGCGAAAGTCTCGCCTTGACGAGAATCTGGAGCCGGGATTTTGATTTGCATAGTATAGCAAAAAGTTTTTTCTTTCGTTTGATACCGAAACGAAATTTTTCTATTATTTACTTCAGGTGACAGATTCAAGAGGCCACATCTTGTATTCAAAGGAGGATGCCACCAAGGGACGTTTTGCATTCACTACCGAGGAGTATGATATGTTTGAGGTTTGCTTCACCTCGAAACCTGTCAGTGGTAAGATCTTGAGAATGTAAATGTTCAGTTTCTACGGACTCTCAAGCTAAGGAAATCACTCATCTTTGAGGGCCATTTTCTTTCTAATTTCACCTCTGAAACCAGGTGACCCCCACCTCCTTCATTTGCAAATATCTCAACTTCTGTTCAAGATAAATGGATATTTTTTCCTTCCAAATTAAGACAAACGAACAAGCTTTAAGATGATACCAATAAATCTACATGCCTCAAAATTGATGAGAGCCCGATTCCACAGCGTAGTGACACATATGTGTGAGGCAGCGTGGTGGAATCAGGCACTCGTCAATTTTTGGGCATGTGGAGTTATTGATGTCATCTTAAAGCCTGTTCATTTGTCTATCTTCCGTTGAAAAAAGTACCCATCTATCTTTATAATAGAAGTCGTAATATTTGTGATTGAAGTAAGTAGGGTAACCTGATTTCAGAGGAAAAATAAGGGAGAAAATGACCGCCAAAGCTTGGTATCTTTCAATACCTGAGACTCCTTGAAAACTAAAAATTTACATTTTTTTGTACCTTTAACTCACTTGCGACTGGGCCTTTTCACCAGTCACAAGCGTTGAAGACTGGCGTTTTTGGGGGTATTTCAAAAAATCACCACAACTCTCAGAATTACCCTATTGTAATCATTTTTTGACACAGTAAAGTAACATTCAAGCTTAATCTAATACAAAAAATTAAAGTTGTTTAAGTCTAATACTTTAATTTGTATGATTTTTTAAAAATTGGCATGAATTTGATTTTCCGAAAAATTTCCAGAGACGTGACAAGTAGAATGAAATTCACTGCAACAACAAAAATAAAAGTTCAAAGTGTTCTGGTTTGATTTGTATACATGTGCGAGTGTTTGGTGAAAATATAAAAGCTGGTCTGTGCATTGATTCAAACCCATACACTGAATTACATGAGACAGATGTACGGCACGACGTTGTGATTTCGTTGCGCGAAAAACAACACCGGTACTAGTGCTAGATCTAGCCCTAGAACTACGACTCGGGCCGTGTTCGGGTACATATCCAGGATCCTAACTATTAGACACATCATATTCTGAGACACTAGAACTAGTAAAACGCACAGAAGTATAGAAAACGGCGAAATTATGTGATTCTTGTTCATGCGACTTCTTCGACCGTTACTACGACGCGACTGTCGGATTACTATCAGCCGTATAGAAAAAAACAAAGCGCGAGTTCCGGTCTGTTCAACCCCAGTTGGGGTCACTATCCTTCACCTTCAATAACTTAAAAACTACCGGCCCCAGAGATAGGAAACGAAGTCTAAGTAGCTCAGGCTTGGCCAAACAAGGGTACGAGGCGGGTCTCGCGATCCGTGCGTGATTTGTAGAGCGAAAAAAAAAATCCAAAGTTGGTCACGCAGGGCTTGTGAGACCCGTTGCGGGCGTCGCGGCGGGGGTCACGCAACTGTTGTGTGACCAGTCTGAAGTGAGTTAATCAAAGTTTTTCGTGATAAAATCCACACAGAAATGTGTTTTTAAATTAACATAAAAGCTGTTGAGCTTAAAAACAAAAATCTGATAAAAATTGCCAAACGGGTAGAAAAATGACAATATCTTTGATTTCATTATTTTGACGAGAGCCTGATTCCACCTCGCTGTCTCACATATATATTTATAATTATATTACTATTTTGAGAAAGAGGGTGTCGGGATGAGACCATTTTATTTACAGCACATGGATTCACATCATGGGATCTTTAGGAATATGTTGGCAGTGTGATTAAATAATGGCAAAACTTTCTGTGATGACTTTAGACCATGCCAACCATAAAATATAATAATTCAATTCCATCCATCATGCTATGGAATTAAAAAGTTTTCTTTTTTTTCATTCTAGAGGTGATCTTCTTATGCCTTTGCTTTCAACTTTTGTTATGGAAACAGGATACATTGTTTAGCTAGTAGACCCTGGAGGAATGTTACTGCACGTTACAGGTTATTGTCACACAAGATGAGTGCTTTGTTGTCTGGGCTCCTGTGAAACCTTTATATGGGGTAAATTTGTTGTTGGGCTCCTGTGAAACCTTTATATATATATAAGTAATTTTTGTTTTTAAGACTCATGACTCTATTGAATTGTCTTGTACAGGTGCTGTAGCCCCTGACCGAGAAGTGTATCTGGATGTCAAGCGTGGCATTGAGGCAAAGAACTACGACGATGTATGTTACCTGTTTGTGTGTTGCATGCTCTGGTTGAACATATTACCAGATGCAGTTAAAAAGTTCAACTGTCAAATATTTCGTCAATGAGTTGATATTGTCTCATGTTGTCCTTTTTAAATCTTAAAATGCTTGAAAATATTCTCTTAACTCACTCACTGCCATTGTTTTGTCGCTCCTGTGATGGTCAATAGGCGACGACCGCTCACCGCCGCTACCGCAGCCCTGTCGGTCGCGCATTTTCCTCATTATTTCTACTTATTGCCGACATGTATGCGGCAACGGCATAGCACAAGTACTTGAGTAACATCCCTTTGACCACTTAGAGCAGTTTCGCTTTTATTAGAAGCAGTTTCGCTTTTATTAGAATGATTTCCCTTGAAGTTTTGCCTATTTTTGGAACGGGGGTTCTCTTTGTCCTTTTTCTGGGTTTTGTTTTGACCGCCGGGCGGCTGAAGTCGACCAAATGCTAACGTGATGGTCATGCCGATATGAATTGAAAATGACTCGTAATTGTAGAGATTTTGAATCCATATGATTCAGTTAACTCTTGATTCAGATGATGAAATACAAAATAGTGGTAGTGATGGTAGTTTGAGATGAGAGAAAGAGGTAGATCACCTGTGGACAGCAGTAGGCTAGTACTAATACTAGATATCTAGTACTATAGTCTAGTATTACGACTAACGATTCAAGCGGTGATGCTTGAAATAGTGTAGCCTAAGTCATCATAAACTTATCAATTTAGTTTTCTTTGTTTTGTTATACATTTTTGTTGTGTATTTTAGGACAGAAACAGCAAACTCTCTCACAAAAACAGCAAAAATTTTGTACTTGCTAGTTAGACAAAAAAAAAGTTTTGAGTCCCCAAGATTTGTCATTTTTTGAAAAGCTATATAAAATATGAACAAAATAACCTACAGTCAAAATTCTTTCTGTTCTGTAAAGCTCAACGTATCCTACTGAAATTGGCCAATTTTAATAAATCTAACATAAATAGGTACAGAGTAACTGGATTTTGAAAAAGGTCAACAAAAAAACTGGCAGGCAGGGACTTGGTCTGAGCTAAGGCGCCGGCAGCGAGTGAGTTAAAGCTTTTTCTTTTACACTTAATATTTAAGGGAGTCATGTGCATTGGTAAAAAAATCTCTCATAGTGTGGGTGCATTCAAGATCTAGGTATGAATATTTATTGTCCTAGTTTGGTTGTTTTGGAATGTTCAGAAAAGCTTGGTACTAGAATTTATAACCATAGGTACACAACGTGTTCGCCTGCCTTGAGTTAACAGAGTGTGGCACTTTCAGAATATCCTAAGTCTCTCCATTTTCCTTTTTTCACCATACTCTCCTTCCACACCAGATTGCCAAGGCAGAGAAGTTGAAACCTCTGGAGGTTGAACTAAGGAGGCTTGAGGACTTGTCCAAGTCTATTGTGGATGATTTTGCTTACATGAGATCAAGGGAAGAACAAATGAGGGACACCAATGGTAAGTGCCTCAAACTCTTCTGTGTTTGTAGTTGTACAGCTAACCGCCTCATGCCATGGACTACTCTGTCTGCCTGGGAGGAAGGGGCTAGTGAAAGTTTTGGGATATGAGGTTTTTAGACCTGCATGTTTGCCGACAATCGTCTGAAATCCGACAATCGCGAACCGGCCGATGCTATCGCTAGGCCCG